AAAGCTTTCTTAAACAATCCTTTATATACTCCCATATAGATTAAAAAAATCAAAAATGCTTATTTTTTATTTATTTAATAATTAAATATTATAAATATATTTGTGTTTGTTTTTGACTTTTATATACACCGCGATGGTCAAAATAGCTAAGATAGTGGTATGCGGCGCCTCTCAGGTCGGCAAAACTGCGATTATCGAACATTTAATTTATGGAAATCATGTGATCGGCCCACGAGAATTTGATGTAGTAATTGATGTTTTAGCTTATATGATAGATTCCTACAATTGAGGACACATACTCTGCCTTGATTGATTCAGATCGAGGTACTAAAGAAAAAACACGAATATACGATATTGGCGGTCATAACCGTTTTATTGAGCGCCATTTTATTAACTGCGCAGATGCAATTATATTGGTTTATGATGTTAGTAATGCAGAATCTCTTAGTTACGCACAAGGATTGAAAATAGAAGTCATTTAATTTGCATTTTTATTTTTTTAGATTGACAAATCTAAGGAAAAAAGAGATATTCTTTTTGTTCTTTGTGGAAATAAAAATGACAAGATTAAAGACGAAAAGATCGACAGTAAGGATATTGCGCAGTGGATATTACGTGATAAAAGTACTTTATTTTATTTTATTTATGTGATTTTTATCTATTTGCTGCTCTTTAAATGTTTTTGCTTAATAGTGAACCATTTTGAACTTAATGTAAAAGATCGGCTAGCTCTGGCCAATATGTTTTGTTGGATTGTTTCTCGTATTGTCCAGCCATCAAGTAAGCTTACTTTAATGCACCTAAATTTATAATTATGTACGTGAGCCTATAATTATATTAACCTATGAAACGTTTTTAGGCAAATCGGCTTTCGCTTTTGTAAAGAAGGATAAAACGTCAAGTCGTTCAGCATTTTTAGAATGAAAGCATATTTACTCTATCCAGTGATTGCAACCTCTGTCTTTCTTGTTTTTAAGCGTTCCATTTTTACGAATTATATTCAGTTCTGAATTTTTACTGGAAAATATATTTATTAACTTATAGTAATTCTTTTTTGTTGAACTATACATCAGTATCTAATGCTTGATCAGTGTTGTGCCTTAGTCTGGCTTACTACTCTTTGCTATATAATTTGGGCTTTTCAGTTTATATTTTATTTGAATGAGTAAATTTCGCGGTTAAAATTAGTACTATAACTTTTTTGCAGAAACGCATCCTTTTAAAAATGCTCAGATAGTGAAGAATAGTTTGGCCTTCAACATATCCTTGTTTTCTAATATTGTTGTATGTTCTCTTTATCATTATTTTTACATAGAAACATTGCTTTATTATACATCTGAAGTCTAGTGCATC